TGAATACAGCCCCTTTATCATATTTATCGATTTGATTATTAGCTCATTGATGCGCCAGCTCACCCATATAACAAAAATGACAAGATATACATAGTGTAGCGAGGCAGAGGGAAAACACAAACACCGTAGATGAAGTTACAAACAATGCCCCGGAGGGTGCTTTTATTTACAAGTGATAAAGGGGTGAATGAGTGCTCTTCTTAGAGGTGCGTGCTCAGGTGCTCCGGGGAGAAGGTGAAGACTGGTGAGAGGGATGGTGTTGGATCGGTCACGAGCTGGATTCGGCTGTGGGAGAGACAGAGAGAGACAAGCGTTAGCGCAGGGAGTCATCTGAAATGAAGCTCACTTCCTTCTGTGTGGGGCTGGCTTATATCTCTCCCTGGCTGATGAGGTCCAGCTGTGAGCGATCCGAGGTTGATGAGAGATCCAGCTGGTGTGGATTTGTGCCCAGGGCGACGTGGTATTACATGGCTCGCTACATTCCCCCCCCCTTAGCGTCGTCCTGGTCCTGGGTGTCCTGCGAAGGAAGAGCAGTGTATTGAGAGGGGGGGTAGAATGTTTCGACAGACCTGCCCATCCTGACCAGAGCCGTGAGAGTCCGTCTGCGTTTCCGTGGGAGGCCCCGGCTCGATGTTGTACGTCGAAGTTGAAATCCTGGAGCGACAGGAACCACCTGGTGACCCGAGCGTTGTTGTTCTTCGCTGTCGCCATCCATTGTAGCGGGGCGTGGTCGGTCACCAGAGTGAATTTCCTGCCAAGGAGATAGTACCTTAGCTCCAGGATTGCCCACTTGATCGCCAGGGCCTCCTTCTCCACCGTTGCGTAGCGGGTCTCTGCGGGGGTCAGCTTCCGACTCACGTACATTATGGGATGTTCTTCATCGCCGTGGACCTGGGAGAGGACCGCGCCCAGGCCCGAGTCGGAAGCATCCGTCTGTAGAATGAAGGGGCAGCCGAAGTCAGGTGCGTGCAGTACCGGTGAGGACGTGAGGGACTTCTTTAGGGCTCGGAACGCATCGTCGGCTTCCTTGGTCCATCTTATCCTCTCCGGCTGCCCCTTTCTGGTCAGGTCTGTCAAAGGGCTGGCTATGGATGAGAAGTTAGGTATGAAACATCTATAGTAGCCCGCTAACCCCAGAAATGCACGTACCTGGGTCTTTGTGGTGGGTTGTGGAGTTTCCTGTAGTGCCTTGACCTTGTTTTGCTGTGGCTGTATGAGACCTCGTCCAATGTGGAACCCGAGGTATCTGGCTTCGGCTAGACCCAGGTGGCATTTCTTGGGATTAGCTGTGAGCCCAGCCCGTCGAAGATCTAAGAGCACCCTCCGTAACCGGGATAGGTGTTCTTCCCATGACTCTGAGTGGACGATGAGGTCGTCCAGGTAGGCTGCTGCATATGGCTGGTGGGGCCTCAGCAGGATGTCCATCATTCTTTGGAATGTGGCTGGGGCCCCGTGGAGCCCGAAGGGAAGAACCCGGTATTGCCAGTGCCCACCGGGTGTGGAGAAGGCGGTTTTCTCCTTGGCGTCTTCACTGAGTGGTAACTGCCAGTAGCCTTTGGTGAGGTCGATGGTGGAGATAAATCGGGCTCCACCCAGCCTATCCAGCAGCTCGTCCACCCGAGGCATGGGGTATCCGTCGAACTTGGAGATCTCATTGAGTTTCCTGAAGTCGTTGCAGAAACGGAGGGTGCCATCGGGTTTGGGGACCATCACTATTGGGCTGGACCACGGGCTACGGGATGGTTCGATGATGCCTAACCTTCTCATCTTCTGGATCTCCTCGTCGATAGCCAGCCTGCGAGCCTCTGGAACTCGATAAGGCCTTTGCCGGACGATGGTGCCAGGAGGAGTGATAATGTTGTGTTGGATGATGGATTCTCCGAGAACACATCCTTGAACTGACCAACCAAGGCTTGCAGCTCCGCATTCTGATTTGGTGAGAGTTGCTCACCAATGTGGACAACGGGAAGAGTTTCTTCAGCGAAGGCGACAAGATGACCTGGAGCTGCAACCCACTTCTTCATAAGATTTATGTGGTAGAGTTGTTCTTCCCGTCTTCGTCCCGGCTGACGGACTCGATAATTTACCGGCCCTACCCTTTCTACCACGGTGTATGGTCCCTTCCAGGATGCGAGGAACTTCGACGTTGTGGTAGGTATGAGTATCATCACCTTGTCCCCTGGGTGGAACTCTCTGGGTTGGGCGGGCCGGTTATACAATCTCTGCTGGGCGCGCTGGGCTTCGGTCAGGTGTTGTTTGACGATGGGCATGATTTTGTCGATGCGTTCTCTCATGTCCCGTACGTGTTCAATCACCGACCGCTGGGGGGCTGGTTCCTGTTCCCAGGCTTGACGAGCCACATCCAATAGGCCTCGGGGTTGGCGGCCAAACAGCAGTTCGAAGGGGGTAAATCCTGTGGAGGCCTGGGGGACTTCCCTGATACCGAATAACACGTACGGGATCATGAGGTCCCAGTCGCGCCCGTCCTCTGCCACCACCCGTCGGAGCATCTGCTTCAGAGTCTTGTTAAAGCGCTCGACAAGGCCGTCCGTCTGTGGATGATATACAGAGGTTTTTAGCTGTTTTACCTTGAGTAGGTGACAGAGGTCTGCCATCAACCGGGACATGAAGGGGGTGCCCTGGTCGGTCAGTATCTCCGTTGGGATTCCCACTCGACTGCATAGCAGAAACAGCTCCTTCGCGATGGCCGATGATGTGGCTTTCCTCAGGGGAATCGCTTCAGGGTATCTGGTGGCATAATCGAGGATAACAAGGATGTGCTCATGTCCCCGGGCCGACTTCGGCAAAGGCCCTACCAAGTCCATACCAATTCGGGTGAAGGGCACATCGATGATGGGTAGTGGTATTAGAGGGCTGGGGGGTGGTCGTTGGGGAGACGTTCTCTGGCAGATGTCACATGCCTGGCAATACCTCTTTACTTCCCCGTCTAGCCCCGGCCAATGGAAACGGTCGCAGATCCTTTTCACCGTGTTGGCCGCTCCCAGATGTCCAGCCATCGGGTGGGTATGTGCCAGTTCTAAGACCGTCTCCCTCTTGGTCCTCGGGACGACCAATAGTGTCTTCTTTTCCCCCCGCCTCTCTGCGACACAGTACAGCAGACCATTTTCCACAATAAAATGTGGGAGGGGGTGAGGGCTGGGAAGTCGCTCATTACCTTCAATGATCCGTACTTGCGGCCAGCAGTGTTTGAGCGTTTCATCTTCCCTCTGTGCTCTGCCAAAATCGCCTCCTGCGGTTATCTGTTGAAACAGATCGAAGTATAAATTAGCAGAAATTGATGACTCACCCCCTCTGTCGCTCTCGGTGGTCATCAGCGCTGGTTTGCGGTCCCGATGAGCCCGTGACTTGTTCTTCTTCTTTGAACGAGCCGATAGAGCGTGGTGGTGAGTGAGAAGTTCATCGAACCCCGGCCAGTCTCTGCCCAGTAGGAGGGGCACAGGAAGATCTGGAACAACCCCGACTTCGATGCGCCAGCTGCCTGGTTTCGCCGCGATGGTCACTCTTCGGGCGGGTACGTGGCGGGTATCACCGTGTACACACGTGATTGGAATAAGACTTTTACTTTCCTGGCGGTATTTCAAAGTCTTCGGGTGAACCAGAGTGATGGCGCTTCCTGTGTCCAAGGTGGCCGTTTGTGTTTTACCCTCTAGCTGGACTTTATGGGTGGGAGCTTCGGGAGGGATATTGCGGTGTACCGCGCACCCTGCTGTCCAGGCCGGGGTCGAGTGCGTCGTCGGCTCGGTGGGCATCGGCTCGTCCATCGGGCTGGGGACCGCTGGTCTGCCGCCTGGTCGCGCTGTGCCCTCCACCGGTCGCCAAGGTGCACTTACCCTCCGGGGTGGCAGAGCCGCTCTCTCCCCATTATCTCGGGCGATGTGAGCTTCCGCCAGCTCGATCGCCTCCACCAGGGTGGCCAGTGACTCAGGATTTCGCATGCTGGTGAGTGTTCGCAAACGTCGGGGTAACGCACGCATCATCTTCTCGATGATCACCTTCTCAGCGACCTGGACCGCCGAGGGATCTCCTCCCAATAACCATAGCCTTCCCAGGCGAGAAAGTTGAGCTGCTTGAGTTCTCACTGGTTGTTTCTCGTCGTAAGACCACTGGGAAAACTGTTGGGCTGCGCTGATTGTGGATAGCCCCATTCTGGCTAATATTTCCTTTTTTAACGCTTTGTAATCTTCATTTTTAGGTGTCTCTAGTGAAAAATATGCTCGTTGCGCTTCTCCTGTGAGAAACGGAGCCAACATTCTCGCCCAGTTTTCTTTTGGCCAGCCTTCTCTCTCGGCAATAACCTCAAAGGTATGTAAATAAGCGTCAATATCATCCAGGTCGCTGAGTTTAGTGAGATGATGATGCGCACTCACTTCGGGAGTCGGATGGTGTCTGGCCGCCTGGCGGAGCTGCTGTTCCAGTCGATCCTGTCTGGCTGTAAGCTGCTCAGAGATGGAATTCTGTTTCCTGGAGATCTCCGCTAGGTGGAGCAGTACCTCTTCCACCGACATGGCGACGGGATGTTGACAGCCGAGTAAGAGGAAGCGTGGGAGAGAGAGAGAGAGCGGATGCCTGTAAGTGATAAACACAGAGAAAAATTCAGCGGTTATTTTCTACTTAATGGTGAGTGTTTCTTCTGAATTTTTCCCTCTGCAATGCCCGCATTCTCCACCAGTTGTAGCGAGGCAGAGGGAAAACACAAACACCGTAGATGAAGTTACAAACAATGCCCCGGAGGGTGCTTTTATTTACAAGTGATAAAGGGGTGAATGAGTGCTCTTCTTAGAGGTGCGTGCTCAGGTGCTCCGGGGAGAAGGTGAAGACTGGTGAGAGGGATGGTGTTGGATCGGTCACGAGCTGGATTCGGCTGTGGGAGAGACAGAGAGAGACAAGCGTTAGCGCAGGGAGTCATCTGAAATGAAGCTCACTTCCTTCTGTGTGGGGCTGGCTTATATCTCTCCCTGGCTGATGAGGTCCAGCTGTGAGCGATCCGAGGTTGATGAGAGATCCAGCTGGTGTGGATTTGTGCCCAGGGCGACGTGGTATTACATGGCTCGCTACAATAGACACACATTAAAAACATGTTAAAGCATTGTAATTTGTTCGATTTCTGCATCACTACAGTGCCATTTTGTGATTTGCCACTATTTGAAGAAGAGCAAAAATATAACTTTAGAGAAATGTGATTGTTTTAATAAGATCAAACATTCCCTACTTACAGAGTGAACCTTGTTTTTTTTCTTTTTGACTATGTAATTAACACTGACTCTATCTTTTGCTTTTTTGACCATTTTTCTATAACCATGGAGAGCAGCAATTTTTCTTTTCCTTGAAACTTTGCTAAACTGGGAAAAAATCAATTTGTGTGCCCTCTGTACTAAATTGTACACTTCCTGAGTCTCTTGAAATTGTGCTGACTGGCTCCACTTGTGAAGATCTGTGAGCATGTCCTGCAGTGTAGCCTTTTTTCTTTCACAGGACTGTAAGCATTGTAAATCAAAAGAATCGCTCTGACAAGATTTGTAAAGAATGCTGTGAACTAATGTACATACACACAGCTCCCCATGACTATTTGCAATGCATGTGCAAAATCTTGTCCCTTTATGACTTACTACTCCTACACTCCCATCAAAGTGACAGACAGTAAGGTTTTCACTGTCTGTGAAGTAGGATTGACTGTCAACAATCTTTCTTGCTGCATCAGTCCTAAGGTCTTGAATCACAAGTCCTTGTTTCTCTGCAATTGTCTTTGAAAAAATTAAGTGTTTGCACATAGATCCTCGTTGGAATCTTTTGCAGTTGCATGTGTGCATCACCAAATCAACAGTGTGAAACTGTGTGCTTGTATCTGGTGGTACCAAACATACTCCATCTTTAGACATATCTATTTTTGTATCCAGGCCTTTTGCAACCACAGACTGAGCAGCAATAATGGTGTCTTCGCTGTTAGATCTGTTGATTCGTCCAGTTTCTGTCAGATCATCCAGGTAACTAAATGATAAAATAAGGTAAAAAGTCAAATGACATTAAAAATCATGTACTTTCTTTTGATCATGAAAACTGACAATAACAGGTACTACAATAAAGATTAGTTTGTTAATTGTAGGTAACTTGTAATTGCCAGAGGTGGTTTATGTTACATACAATCAGAGTACCACAACATAGACATGATTTCTGTACCTGGTAATTACAATTTGGCATATCAACAGTAATATGGTGATCTTAAAATTTACCTGTAATATTTCTGAACATCACCACAAAGCAAGCAAAGAAGCCGATCAATTCTGCTATTCATTTTCCCCTTCAAAAATTGGTACTTCACTGTAAGGAAAAACCTGTACAAAAGATAAAGAACTTACAACATATTTTGTACAATTTTGTCATGATAATCATGTTATATTAATAATATACCATAATGAAATTTTAGAGCATACAATTATCATTGTAATAGTTCACCTCTCTGCCTTATTGTTGGTTTCACTGTTATGATGATAGAATGTCCGACCAAAATTGGACCACAATTCTCCTAAACAAATCCACTGATTCTTGAGGTAAGTTGATACATGTGAACTACCTAATAATGTATTCAGCTCTTTGCATTTTGTCGCTGATACATTGTTAAACTCCTCTTCCAGTTAAAAACCACAAACAAAACTGAAAAAAAAATCACTGTTAAGTTATGGCTACTTACATTTACACATTTAAAGGGATAGTTCACAACACTGCAAGTAATCCAAACTGTTATGGAAACATTTCTTTAAAAAAACAATGTATTAAAAAGCACAATAACATTCAAGGTGTACAGCAACATTAAACAGAAAACAAAAACCTGACCAATCTAAGGAAAATCCACTGTATACAGTTTATATTTTAGGTTTCAATAATGGAGACAGATTTTTACTTCTGAAAAATAATTATGCTATATGATGAGTATTTGAAAAAAATATTACCGTTAAGCACGATTTCATTGATGCCATTGCTTGAATTACAGTATTTCTTTGCTCAACAGGCAAGTTCCCTCCATCTTTTTTAACTATCCATCTATGCACAGCCTACTCAAAAAAAACAAAACATTTAAATTGCCAAACGGTTGTCATGATGAATGTTTTAAAAGATCTGTGATTTAAATCTTTCACATCTTTTTGTAAAATTTTGAATAAAGAAGTTCAGTCATACCTGAAGTACATGAAACCAGCAAAGAAGAACCTTCACTTTTGGAAAAACTTTTTCTAATAGCATTGAGTTCCTTAAGGTCACGGTCAATCATTATTGATCTAAATGATGAGGAAACAAGCGATTTAGTAACAGAAGCATGCAATATGAAGGCTAGTGTTTACAAAATCAGTATTGGTGTAAACGATTTGTTGTCTTCATTACTCAATAGTTGCATTTGTATATAAAACTACACCAAAAGTACACCAGCAAGCGTCTGCTTACTCTGCTTGCAAAATTTACAAGGTTATACGTTTATACGTTGTTACCTTGGAAGAAATCCAGGGTTGTGTATTGCAAGTTTTTCCAAGCAGATGGCTGGTATGTCAGCTGACTCTTGACTGATAATAAAGTAGGCAAATGGTACAGCTCTTCCAATACTGTTTGTCAAAAGAAGCGCATAAAATGCATAACCATATGATGTTATGGCTTTGTAAGTGGCATCCATAAATACCATAGGATGTGGATGTTCCCCTTCGGGGGGAACTCCAGCACTATAAGTGGATTTGACTGTTAAAATCCTTGTATTGGGAGGTTCGGTTCAGAAGCTATTCGTCTGAAAGAGTATTGAACGGGCCAATTAAGAATGAATTGGCAGCGCAAGCCTGCGCAGGTGAGCGGCATAAGCAATCAACTGAGTATATAAGCTCACCTGGCGCCAGCAGACGCTATCCTTTTCGCTTCAGAGCCTTTTCTGATCGAGCTTATGAGGGTTCCTCCTGCTGATCTACAGCCATTTCGAGAGAACGATTGCATCCCGGTCCAGAGCGAGTCCACGCAGCGGCAGATGGTCGAGCTGGGTATCTCCCTTGCCTGGCGTCCCTTTGGGTCCGGTCCTCCAAGAGCGGTGCGTATTGTTGCGAATCCTGAAAGAGCACCACAGTCGTGCAGCACGTCCTTTTCAGGATGGCGCTCCGACTGTGCGTTTCTGGCTGCGGGGGTTTCCTGGCTCCGGATGATGGACACGATCACTGCATTACATGTTTGGGGGTCCAGCATGTTAATGTGGTGCTCGGGGGCGGTTCATGTCGTCACTGCGATGCCATGACCGTTGCGCAGTTGAGATCGCGGTTAGCTTTCGTAAGAGAGCGAGCCACCCCAGTTGCCTCCTGCTCTGCAGCGGGGCAGATCTGAGGGCTTCAGCGAGAGACAATCCTCCGCCCACGGGCTCGCGGACCTCTCGCTCCTCCAAGCGCTCCATCCAAGCTTCGGGTACTGGGAGTGATCCGTTTAATCAGATGGTAGCTATGGCAGATATGCGCGATGTCGACAAAGTTCGCTTTCTTGACGCGCCCATATCCCAGGCTGGCCTGTTCGGCGACACCGTCGGTGAATTCACCCAGGAGTTCAAGGCGGTGAGCGAGCAGTCGGATGCGATGGGCAAAGTCATCTATCGGCGGGGCCGTAAGCCCGCTCCATCCCCGGCCGAGCCATCCACCTCCGCTGCTCCTCGCCGAGGGCGCCCGCCAACGGCCGATGCCCCGCGAGCGCGTCGAGCACGCCGAAAGCCGGTAGCCCCTCCTGCCCAGGGCGCCACTAAGTCCGGTAAACTGACCGCGAAGCGTCCCTGAGACAGGCCATCCGGAGAAGAGGAGACTTGCTCTTTCCACGCTGGAGGGCGAGGCCCAAAATCCAACGGTACTTTTCAGTGCCACCAAAGTTTCGATCAAAGAGCATTTTCTCCCTTCCCCGGATGTGACAGCTCAAGCCCCGCCAGTCTGGGACGCGCTGCCTCTCAGCTCGCAGGGCTTGCATGCTCCGCCAGCGGCTCTCGGGCGCTGGGGGGACGGTCTCCCTTCTCCCAGCTCCCAAGCCCCCTCTCAGGAGTCAGGGTACGGAGCCAGAGCGAAACGCTCTCCTCCAGCTCTTCTGTGGGACCCTCGCGCTCCCCGGATCAGCACACCCGCTCCTCGCTGCCCCTCCGCGGGTACGTCAACGATTGCTGCGATGACGTCATTAGCGAGGGCTCTGCCTGCCTGGTTAGCGCGGGCCAGCCCCTCGCGGTGGCTCATACGCACGATCAGACTCGGCTACGAACTACAGTTCTCCAAACGGCCTCCCAGGTTTACGGGCGTGTATTTCACCAGGGTCAATCCCCTGTCCGCCCCTGTCTTGCGAGAGGAGATTGCTGCCCTCCTGGCGAAGGGTGCAATCGAGTCGGTACCTCCAGCCGAGATGGAGAGCGGGTTTTACAGCCCGTACTTCATCGTACCTAAAAAGAGCGTTGGGTCACGGCCAATCCTAGATCTGCGCGTTTTGAATCGCTGCCTTCACAAGCTGTCGTTCAGAATGCTTACGCAGAGGCGCATCCTCCGATGCGTTCGTCCTCAGGATTGGTTTGCAGCCATAGACCTGAAGGACGCGTATTTTCATGTCTCCATTCTTCCACGCCACCGTCAGTTTCTGCGGTTTGCGTTCGAAGGTCGAGCATGGCAGTACAAGGTCCTCCCCTTCGGGCTCTCTCTGTCTCCGCGGGTCTTCACCAAACTCGCGGAGGGTGCCCTAGCGCCTTTGCGGGCATCCGCGTACTCAATTATCTCGACGACTGGCTGATTTTAGCCCACTCTCGGGAGCAATTGACTGCGCACAGAGACGAGGTGCTCCGGCATCTCCGCCTATTGGGGTTGCAGGTCAACTGGGAAAAGAGCAAACTCGCCCCGGTGCAGAGGATCTCTTTTCTCGGGATGGAGCTGGACTCGGTCACCATGGTAGCGCGCCTCTCCGGAGAGCGCGCTCGCCTGCTGCTGAACTGTCTGAGGGAGCTCGACAGCAAGTTAGTGGTCCCACTGAAATATTTTCAGAGGCTTCTGGGGCATATGGCTTCCGCTGCGGCTGTCACGCGCTCGGATTGCTCCATATGAGACCACTTCAGCACTGGCTTCAAGATCGAGTTCCGAGACGCGCATGGCATGCGGGCACACACCGAGTCTCTGTTACTGCGCTGTGTCGCCGCACCCTCAGCCCTTGGAACGACCCCTCGTACCTGCAGGCCTGTGTGCCTCTGGGACAGGCGTCCAGTCATGTTGTTGTTTCGACAGATGCTTCCAGCACAGGCTGGGGAGCCGTGTGTCGCGGGCATGCAGCTGCGGGCCTGTGGGTAGGTGCCCAGCTGCATTGGCACATCAATCGCCTAGAGCTGTTGGCAGTGTTCCTTGCTCTCCGCCGTTTTTCTCCGGCGCTGGGGCAGCAACACGTGCTGGTCAGGACGGACAGTACGGCGGCGTATATCAACCGCATGGGGGGTTTGTGCTCTCGCCGCATGTCTCAGCTCGCCCGCCGTCTGCTCCTCTGGAGTCACCCGCGGCTGAAGTCGCTGCGTGCCATTCACATCCCAGGTATGCTCAACCGTGCAGCCGATGTGCTCTCACGGCAGCAGATACACTCTGGAGAATGGAGACTCCACCCGAGTCTGTTCAGCTGATATGGGCGCGATTCGGGGAGGCCCAGATCGATCTGTTTGCTTCCCCCGAGAACGCTCATTGCCAGTTGTTTTATTCCCTGACCGAGGGCTCTCTCGGAACGGATGCACTGGCCCACAGCTGGCCTCGGGGCGTACGCAAGTATGCGTTTCCCCCAGTGAGCCTGATCGCGCAGTTAATGTGCAAGGTCAGGGAGGACGAGGAGCAGGTTTTGTTAGTTGCGCCCCTCTGGCCCAACCGAACCTGGATATCAGAGCTCTCCCTCCTCGCGACGGCCCTCCCTTGGCAGATCCCTTTGAGAGAGGACCTACTTTCTCAGGGACAAGGCACCGTCTGGCACCCTAGTCCCGATCTCTGGAACCTCCACGTGTGGTCCATAGACGCAAGGAAGACTTAGGTAACCTGCCGCCCGCAGTGGTTGATACCATCACTCAGGCTAGAGCCCCCTCCACGAGGCGCGCCTACGCCCTGAAGTGGAGTCTATTCACTGAGTGGTGTGTCTCTCGCAGAGAAGACCCCCGATCTTGCCAGATCAGTGTTGTGCTCTCTTTCCTTCAAGAGAAGCTAGACAGCAGGCTGTCACCCTCCACTCTCAAGGTTTACGTTGCTGCCATCTCCGCTCACCATGACGCGGTGGCTGGCGGCACCGTGGGAAAGCATAACCTCATCATCCGGTTTCTCAGAAGCGCTAGGCGAATTAATCCAACTCGCCCCCCTCTCACGCCCTCTTGGGATCTCGCCCTCGTTCTCACGAGCCTGCGATTTGATCCCTTCGAGCCACTCGATACAGTATCTTTAACATTTCTGTCCCTGAAGACAGCTCTGCTGATCGCGTTGGCCTCCATTAAGAGGGTCGGGGACCTGGAGGCATTTTCGGTCAGTGACTCGTGCCTGGAATTCGGGCCGGGATTTTCTCACGTTATTCTGAGACCCCGCCCGGGTTATGTGCCCAAAGTTCCTACCACTCCTTTTAGAGATCAGGTAGTAACCCTGCAAGCGCTGCCCCCGGAGGAGGCAGACCCAGCCCTGTCCTTACTTTGTCCAGTTCGCGCTCTGCGCATTTATGTGGACCGTACTCAGAACTTTAGATCTTCTGAGCAGCTCTTTGTCTGTTATGGCGGACGGCAGCAGGGAAGTGCCGTGTCTAAACAACGTTTATCCCACTGGATTGTGGAGGCCATTTCATGTGCTTATTTGAGCAGAGGCCAGCCGCGCCCCCCAGGAGTGCATGCGCACTCCACTCGGAGCGTTGCATCCTCTTGGGCGTGTGCGCGTGGCGCTTCTTTAACAGACATTTGTAGAGCTGCGGGCTGGGCGACACCCAACACATTTGCAAGATTTTATAATCTGCGAGTGGAGCCGGTTTCCTCAAGGGTGTTAGGTACCTTTGGTGATTGAGGAAACAACTCGGTAGGTGTTGTACACGCTTGCGGTGCCTTTTTCCCTAACATGGAAAGATGTGCACCCTCCTGTCTGTCAGTAAAGTTCCCAATTCGGTGAGCCCTGCAGATTCCTCCGAGGCCCCTAGCACTGACTCAGCGGAGGAGTCACTTGCTGGCCTATTACGTAGTAGGTCTGCCCGCTGGTCAGCCCGCGTTTTGGGTATAGGTGCCTGCTATGGCCGATCCCCGCTGGTGATCCCCATATGCTTTTTCCGCCACGGTTAAGTTCCCCCCCTGGGCGGACCTGTGCTTTCCCTATCTGCTAACCACCTTTTATGTGCACTCCCCCTTTTCAGGGTTAGTCCATATGTAATTCCATTTGTTTCCCCCTATTGGGTGCGGATGGTCTCCGCAGCGTCCTCCCTACTGGGATGGCACGCTTCCCAACCAAGTGTGCCGCAAGCCTACGTTTGAGTGAAGGTTTCGGCCGTTAGATCGCCCCCTGGGGGCTGGCTGCAGTACAAGTCATAAAGCCCGCCTCCTCCGTGTTAATGAAGGAGACTTGAGCCCAAATAAAAAAAAATATTACACTTGCAATAAAATGTCCCGAAAGATAGTTCTGGTCGATTAAGGCACTGGTTATTGTGCTGAAATAGGTGCAGATCTTCATTTTTGTAAACAGTTTGTTT